AAGTAGAATTGACAGGGCAAAGAAACTTGGGTCTTGGGTGCTCAAATAGTGAGGAATCTAAGCAGTTTGTCCCTGGTAGTAAATTCAAGAATAAGGTTTATACACGTTTCTTGACCTGAATTCCCTCTCTCTGGTGAAAAGGGTGTCTTACCCCTAGATGGTACACCTTTCTCATGAGAGATTTATTTTCTGCTTTCTGGGGGACAGAAATGAGGGTCAGAGTGTCACTCTTGCTGGTTGTGTTTTAAGTAACTAATTCAAACTAATCACTATACCATTGTGGCTTACTTGGGGAGCCCTCCTGCACCCTAGCAGAACCATCTGAGAGTGTGTGGACCTAGTTGCTCATCACCCCTTAATCCTTCAGGATGTATTTTCTAAGTACAAGACCACTCTCTCACATAACTCCAAGATGACCAGCAACATCAGGAAATAGCATCCATCCGATTTATTGATGTCCCAATCATGACCCAAGAATCAAATCCAGGATCATGTGTTGAGTGTAGTTGTCACATCTCTTTAGTCTCCTGTCGGTTCTTCAGCCTGTCCTAAGCCTTTCAGAATCCTAATTTTATAGAGATATCACAACCATAAGTGAAGTGAAGTCACTCAGTCGTGTCCGACTCTTTGCGACCCCATGGACTGTAGCCTACCAGGATCCTCTGTCCATGGGATTTTCCAGGCAAGAATACTGGAGTGGGTTGCCATTTCATTCTCCAGGGGATCTTCCCGACCCAGGGATCAAACCCCGGGTCTCCCGCGTTGTACACAGACGCTTTACCATCTGAGCTACCAGGGAAGTCCATGGAATTCTCCAGGCCAGAATACTGGAGTGGGTAGCCTATCCTTCTCCAGGGGATCTTCCCAACCCAGAGATCGAACCCATGTCTCCCACATTGCAGGCGGATTCTTTACCAGCTAAGCCACTAGGGAAGCTCATCACAACTATATGTCTATGGATATATCTATTCAATTATATTAAACAGTAATGAATTTGCAACAGTACCTCTGAGTGCAACCCCGTGGCACCGGGTTTATTTTCGCCTTCCCCATCTCCTTACTTGTAACCTATTCTTCTCCTCCAGGCCCATTAATCTTCCTATATTTATTAGCTATATTTTGAAGATGATTCAGTCAAACTAGGATCTTCTGACCGTCCTTACCTTACTCATCTGTGGGAGCTGTACAGAATGCCTGAAGAGAGCAGATGTTGTCATCATTAAATATAGTGGTTTTCAACTTGAATTTAACTTTCAACTTTGGCTGCATATTAGAATCATCTGCAAGATATTTGCAAATACTCAGACCTAACCTACAACTGGGTTTCCCAGGTGGCTCAGCAGTAAAGAATCTGCCTGCCAATGTAGGAGGTGCGAGTTCAATCCCTGGGTCCGGGAGGATCTCCGAGAGAAGGAAGTAGCAACCCACTCCAGTATTCTTGCCTGGGAAATCCCATGGACAGAGGAGCCTGGCAGGCAACAGCCTTGGACTCCCAAGAGTCAGACATGACTTAACAACAACAGTAACCTACAACCACATCAACTACATCCCAGCCTCCAGGAGTGAAACCCAGTCGTCAATATTTCTCAAGCTCACTGCGTAATTCTAACGTGAGTCAATGTTAAGAATTAGCAAAGTAGATTTCTACCTTTATGAAGTAGGTTATATGATTAGATTTAAATGCAGTCTATTGATAAATAGAGGATAGTGTCAAAATGGAAACTATTGTGAGAGGCTCACATCTCCATTTTTTTAATTGGAGGATAATTGCTTTACAATGTTGTACTGGTTTTCACCATACAACAACACGAATCAGCCCTAAGTATACATGTACCCCCTCCCTCTTGGACCTCCCTCCCGCCGCCCCCATCCCTCCCCTCCAGGTCTTCACAGAGCCGCAGGCTGAGCTCTCGGCGCTACACAGCGGCTTCCCATCAGCGGTCTACGTTACACCGTTACACGGTCTACGTGTATTTCAGCGCTGCTCTCTCGGTTGGTCCCACCCTCTCCTCCCCCTGCTATCTCCATTTTAAACGTAAAGGCTTGGGGCTTCTCTGGTGACCCAGTGGCTCCACGCTCCCAGTGCAGGGACCCTGGGCTTGGTCATTGGTCAGGGAACCAGGTTCCACATGCAACTCGGAGTTTGCACGCACGACTCAAGATCCCACATGCCGCAATGAAGATCGCAATGAAGTTGCCTGCTGCAACTAACACTGAATGCAGCCAAATATATATATATATATATAATTTTAAAGGCTTAAAGGATTTTTGAGCAGGTTTCTGTGTGGATGTAAGTTTTTTAAATTAATTTTTATTCGAGTATGGTTGATTTACAATGTTGTGTTAGTTTCTGCTATACGGCAAAGTGAATCCGTTTTATGTATATCCACTCTTTTAGATTCTTTTCCCACACAGGTCGTTACAGAGTATTGAGTTTCCTGTGCTATACAGTAGGTTCTTATTAGTTAAAGTATTTTCTGTTAGGGTATTTAATAGGCATTTTGTCTCTTGAAAATGAATCCAGCAAAGGCGTAATAGTGAATGTGAAATCCTGGCTAAAAATCTGTGCTGTATTTGATTGCCCTCAAGCAGCACTTCTCAAACTTTACTGTCCATACAAATCACTTCTGTATCATGTAAAAAGTAGTTTGCAATTTACCAGGTCTGGGGTAGGGTCTGAGAGACTTTATAAAACGATGCTAAAGTTGCTAGTCTGGGCACCATGTTTTGGTGGCAAGACCCCAGCATCTCTGTCCTAATCATTTAGTTAATGAGTCTTAATTTGAAGGGTGCAATGAGTGTGTGTGTGTGTGTGTGTGTGTGAAGTCTCTTCAGTACTGTCCCACTCTTTACAATCCCATGGACTGCAGCCCGCCAGGCCCCTCTGCCTGTAGGATTCTCTAGGAAAGAATACTGGAGTAGGTTTCTGTGCCCTCCTCCAGGGGATCTTCCCAACCCAGGGATCGAAACTAGGTTTCCCACATCTCCTGCATTGAAGGCAGATTCTTTACCACGGAGCAACCAGGGAAGCCTGAACCTCTCTTTAGGTCTGATAAAACCTAGGGACTTTCCCCGGGGTGGGGGGAGGGGGGGGGGTAGAGTATACATGCACGTACACACCTAAGCATACAATTTGGGGGGAATCATGCATGCTTTCAATGAATACCAATTTATGAATACCGAGTATTTTTCTGGGTGCTAAAAGTAGAGCAATGGACAAGATGGAAAAGGTCCCCACCTTGTGGAGTGTTCACTGTGGCATCAGGGGACAAACAGCCACCAAGTAAGTGAACAAGCCAAGTCACGTAGTGAAACGTATTAGGACAGGGTCCACGGTTTCGTGTGAGGGACAGATCGGGTTGGGGGAGTGCAAGTGTCTCTGTTAAGCTGGTCTGTCTGTCGAGCCATCTTGACCATCAGAGGCCTGAAGGCCAGTATCCGCAGGAAAAGGCAATAAGCCCAAAAGGCATGAAGTAGATGTGAGCTTTGCGTTTTCAAAAGACAGTGGCTGGTGTGGCAGGAACAGAGCCGGGGAGGGACAGTGACAGAAGGTGATTCCAGAGGGCGGAGGGAGGTGGACAAATCCTGCAGGGCCTTGGACATCATGGCAAGGAGGCTGCCTGCATCCCATCCACTTGTCCAAGCCTATTTTTGCATCCTAAAGGAGCCACAGCCTACATTTTAAGAACCCCAGACTGAGAAGCTAATTTAGGAACTAAAGAAAAAATAAAATGTCTTTGGGGGATTAAAGGTTCAGAGAGTCCATCTGAAAATCCAGAAGAATGAGGGAAGGAAGCTCAGGGCACAGTCCATCTCTGAACCTCTGGCCCCACCCTACCCCCACCCCATCAGACCCCAATGTGTGGTGTGCTACCAGGCACAATGGCTTGCTGAGTTTTGTAATTTGAATTCCTATTTGTGAGTAAACTTTTACAGAGAAGCTTCTAGTTTCCACCCCATCTCTTCCTGCTGCAGAACTCTGGGACATCCCAGGCCTGCTCAAGTGGCCCTCAGGAGGCTGGCATCTCTCTTTTCTTAGTTCTTCGCCTTTGAACAGCCCACGGTGGCTTCTGAGCCTCAGCTTAGTTGGCTTAGTTGTGACTCAGAGGTGGCTTTATTCAACGTTTCACTCTGCTTTGAGGGGGCCTGGCTGAGTTTGTGTAGTCCTCATTCCAGAAAGTGCCTCTTAAATGGCAATTGTCTTTGAACTCGCCTGTGTCAAGGGCTGGCTGGAGACTGTTACAGTCTGTGAAACAGCTGCCGGATCAGTATTACGAGGGTTTGATCGATGCTTTCATTTTCCCCGAGATCCTCTCAGGCCTCTAGATTATAGAAAGGAAAACTGCACTGGCCTTCTGCTTTCAAAGATGATTTCTAGGGAATTCCCTGGCAGTCCAGTGGTTGGGACTCCAGGCTTTCACTGCTGAGGGTGCAGGTTTGATCTCTGGTCGGGGAACTAAGATGGCACAAACTGTATGGTGCAGCCAAAAATAAAAAACCTGGAAATAATGGGGGAGGGGCACTTTAAGAGAGAGAAGTGGCCCCAGACACCCTCCAACAAGCAGCAGCCGATTGTGTCTTTCTCCCGATAGTAAACCCTAGGGACCGGGTCTTTTTAAACTCACTCTATCACTAGTGCCTACAACAGCGCCTGGCACATAGCAGGTGCTCTGGAAATAGTTGTTGAATGCATGGAGCCAAGTATTAGCACTTCAGCTCTGATGACTCGTGGCACTGCCCCTCTTCCCACAGGGAAGATGCCTGGAAGTAGGCCAGGCAGGGATGGGGTTCAGGGAGAAACACAAACCTCCAGCTTTACCCGCTTCTCTATTGGCCATAAACATTGGAGACTGAATTTCAAAAATCTCCAAGACAGGAGGCAGAAAAAAGTCAGTTCCATTTTCCCAAACCACCTACCCCATCTCCCTCCATTACTAGGGTCTTGAACTTGTTACAATCCATGTCTGACCCGATATACATGTGTGTGTATGACCGAGTCCCCTTGTTGTCCACCTGAAGCTATCACAAAATTGGTAATCGGCTATACTTCACTATAAAATAAAAAGTGTTTTTAAAATAGTGGACTATTTTGGATAGCACTTGTGTGTAAAAAAAAGACACAGCGTTTGAGTCTCTCTAGAAAATCCGATGCTAAATAACCCCTAGAGCCCAGTCACTGCTTTGAAGGCCGAGGCATGGGTAGCCACCTCCCCATTGGCTGCGGGGGACTCGCCCAGATGTCTGGCTTTCACATAAAAGACAGGAAGCACTGAAGTCAGTCTCCACTTCCACTCAAAGGGCGAAAGCAAAACCAGCAAAGGAGGAAGATGGCAAGACTGTTGTTCCTTTTCCTCCCAGGTCTTGTGGCCATATGTGCCGTGCATGGAATATTTATGGACAGACTTGCTTCCAAGAAGCTGTGTGCAGATGATGAGTGTGTCTGTAAGGACTTTTTTACGCCTTTTATTACCTTTCTATTATATAATTGAAAAAGAAATATCCACTAATAGCGTAGAATCTAATTGCATTTGGAAGTGAATCTTCCCTAATGTGCATGCGATTAGCGTCCTTTCTCCGGGTCTGTGCGTTTTGTGTCTCAGCATGAAGAATTCACTTGGCTAAGATTCTGTTGGATGCTGTTTAATAACCTTAGTTATCTTCTGGAATTGAATGTGAGTGATAAACCAGGAGGTGTTAGTCACTGTGATTTCCTAGTCTTCTGATATGCTCTGCGGTTTTTACTGTTTTAAAACCCAGGAGTCAATGCTTTCTTCTTCTAGATACTATTTCATGGTTTTTTCTTCCAGATACTATTTCTCTGGCCAGAGCTCAAGAAGATTACAATGCTCCAGACTGTAGATTCATTAACGTTAAAAAGGGGCAGCGGATCTATGTTTACTCAAAACTGGTAAAAGAAAATGAAGCTGGAGAATTCTGGGCTGGCAGCGTAAGATGAGATTATTTAAAATACATAAAATATCTTGACATGTGTTGCCCTTAACTGTTCCTCTGTTACCTATCTTCGAGGCCTTTTAATATTTAAAACTAGCTGTTAAGAACAATAGAGAAGCTGTGGCTATGCAAAACTTCATGTATATTTGCTTTTATTGCATTTTAAAGAAACAAAGAAAATTTCATCACAAAACCCAATGTAGGTTTATTTGCTGTTTTGGCAAGAAAATCTAGTCAAACACATGGGGGCGTAAACATCCCAAAGAGTTTGAACCTTATTCAAAAATACTTGAGTGGATTTGCCAAGTAAAAGGCATGTGTGCTGGCAGTCAGGCTACATTTCAATATTTTTAAGGAAACTTTAGCACCCTCTTTCACTCCAAAGAATCTGCTTTCTTCAGTTAAAACATGCAGGGGTGGACCCTGGGGAGGGATGAAGCTGAACTGATTTACTGTCCTCCACTGCAGCTCCCGCTCCAGAGATATATTCGCAAGTAATGAAGAATTAAATCTGAAATGCACTCAAGAATCTGTTCATTTGAATTTTAAAAAATGTGGAGCGTCCTTTAAAAGTTCTTTAAAATAACAGTGTCTATTTACTTTAAAAAAAAAAGATACAGACTTCATTTATGGGTTCCAAAAAAGATTTCCGGGCAGCTCACAGACTGCACAAAGAAATGCTAAAGTAGGGAGGCCAGTAAGAGTGGGCCACAAAAGAATAGACACACAGTTTCTGTGGGTTGACTTAGTTGCTGTGAGTGAACTTCAGATTTGGGTCTGTGCCCCCCAGAATCCAGGCTGAGAAGCAAGGCATTGGTAGTTATATGATTCTCGGGGACAGCAAAGAGGATGCCTGAGGGTTTCTAAAGGAGTATCACAGCCTCTTTCCCCTCTCTGTTACATTTCTGGGCACTCAGGTCTATGGCAATCAGTCTGAGGATGAAATGGGAACCGTGGGTTATTTTCCCAGCAACTTGGTCCAGGAACAACATGTGTACCAAGAAGCTACCAAGGAAGTTCCTACCTCGGTAAGCATCTCTGGGGCTGGGGAGAGGGGAGAGAAGGACTCAGAATGTAGATGTAGGCAGGTGTAAAAAGATGCATCATGCAACTTACAAGCTGCATCAAGTAAAGCCCCCCACTTCCAAGGGTGATATCTCTAGACAACAAGACTTGGGGGGGCATTTATAGCTACTATCAATGTTGAAAGTTTAGTGAACCCTCTCTATCACTAGAGAAAGTGTTTCAGTTGTAAGTTATTTTGAAAATGACTCCATGTCACAAAGAAACAAGCCAAAATAGTATTAACTGACTCTTACTGACAAGCTCACTTATCAGCTAAAGACAGGCTGAGAAAAATATCAGCACCTGTATTTATTATTTATTTAATAAAATCAAAACATTCTGGAAAACATTTGAATGCCTGTTTTTGTGATAGAGAGACTCTACTTATGTATGAAAAAGAATTGTACTTTTCCTAATGCCCTGGGGTCTTATATAACCAGAACAGAAGTAAAAGATCCTTTTTGAGTGACTTTGCAAGGTGGTTATTTTGAAATGATTCTCCTGGAGCTAATTGCTGTGTGAAATAACTTTAAAACTTTGACCAACCTACACAAATGCAACTCATTTGTCATCGTGTCTTAGCATTGAACTTGAATGTGTCAAAGAATCATAAATTAGAAGTGTATTTGAGAATCTTCATTTTAAGTAGTTTTTGAGTTAAAGTAAAACTTGTGTCATACTCTCGGGGTTCAAGCTTTACTTATTTTAAATCCAAATTTCCCTTTGATTATGTATGGTTTTAAATAAAGAATCTACATCTGCTTTTTGGTCCTGCATGTTCAGCTCAGGTTTTTTTGCTTTTTTTCTTCCCCCTAGGATATTGACTTCTTTTGCGAGTAAGAAGTTAGAAAAAAAAATTCGCCAATAGAAAGGAAACATCAGAAATAAAGAAAAAAACAAAAACCACCAAAAAATACATGTCACTAATTTCTGACTTTTGTTTCAAGGGTTTGACTTGGGGCTGGAGATGGCAAATAAAGGGGAGGGGAGAGGAGAGGGTGAAGGAGGAAGAAGGAAAGGAAAACAGGAGGGGGAATGTTCTCCAGGTCTAGTCTTCCAGACTACCTGGAACTGGATGATATTTGCCTCAAGTGGGTGAGTTGAAAGCAGAGAATTATTTTTTCAGCTTAGAGCCTCTTCTTACAAGGGGATCAACTAGAAGATGGTTCATTTATAGTTATGTCTAAATAGTAATTCTTCCCAGCTCTTTGGATCCTTGAATAAACTTAAGGTCATGATTCTTTTTTTTTTTTTGGACATGATGTCTTCTACTAGTTTCTCTGGCCAACTGCAGTATTATAATGTACCCCAATGGACTATGTCATCAAGGAGTATTCTAGGATTGTTGTTACTTTTAATATTTGATGCCTTTGGGATGTGAAGCTGCTGGAGGAGAAAAAGAACTGTTTGGACTATGCTTCTAAATTTCTTTTTTAAAAAGGCCTCACAAATTATTTCAGTTGAATAACTTTACCTTCTAAACAATAAATTTACCTCATTGGACCCCAGGGTGATTTTACAGCTGTGTCCACTGTGACTTTGGGTGAATATATTTTTGCCAAACTCTTATGGAAGTCAGTCAAATAAAATGGTATCCCCCCAAGAAAAAGCCTCTTAAACCCAAACCTACCTTTTTTTTTTTAGTATCTCACTTTATTCATAAAATGTTTCAGGCAGCATCTAGATCTCTCAACACAATTTTAAGGTAAGAGGCATTTAACCAACCTCTGTTTCTATCTGCCTCTTACTTGCTGGCCGCCTCCCCCCCCTTTCCAGATACCCCATCACCTCTCAAGACATCCAGTATCCCCACTGTGCGCTCAGCCCACCCAGAACCCCCATCCACCCAGTCTCAGGCATCCAGCCTCACTCCGCAGGTACAGGGCCTCTAGCTCCAGGTTCCCTCCTGGCCCAAATCTGCTCCCACCCCCAGGACTGGTCTCATCCAGAAATTCAGAGCTCATTGACTGATTCAAATCTCCTGGGGGCTTACCTGCTGGAAAAGAAGGAAAGCTCTTGCAGGAACTTTAAATACCATCCAGGGTCTGGGAAAGCAAAAAGTCATCCCTGGACCAGTAGGGGAAGGGCCTCACCTGGGAGCTGGTTAGAAAATGGAGTCTCAGGGCCCACTGTGGGCCTTCTGAATCAAAACCAGCATCTTAACAAGACCCTCGGGGATTCACCGACACATTGTAGGAAGGGAAAAACTTCCTTCTACCCTTCTCGACTCTGTGGCTGGACCTAAGAGTTAAAACTGTTGTAGGACAGGTGAACAGGAAAAAAGCATACACATTTAATTCATGAGATTTATGGAAGGATAAGGAGATAAGATGAGACTTGGACATGGGTAGCACAGACAAGTCAGTTCCATAAGCCCACTTAGGGAGAGTGGGAGATGGCCTAGGGCAGGGCAGTGGGTACCAATGCAAGTGAGGGACCTCCCTGGTGGTCTGGTGGCTAAGACTCCATGCTCCTAATGCAAGAGGCCCATATTTGAGCCCTGCTCAGGGAACTGATCTCACATAAATCACATAGATCTCAACTAAAAAAGATTCCTCATGCCACACCTAAGACCTAGTGCAGCCAAATAAATTTAAAAAAAATTTTAATTGAAACTATACAGTTAATTTTTTTTTTTAAAGTGGGTACCAGTTCAGGATGAGGCCAGGACAGAAAGCCCTTGAAGGTGAGAAGAGTCAGGGAATGGTGGGTGCTGGTAGGCAAAAACTTGACATCTTTTTCAAAGGATGTGTGGGGTTGATGGCTCAGAAAAGCTGGGTGATGAAAGCAGAGCCCAGGGCACCCAGGGAGAGCGTGGGCCGCATAGCTTCACGCTGCTGTTTCCTAGCTGTGCATGTGCTTGAGTAAGGTCCTAACCTCGAGGAACCTCCATTTTCTTGACTGTAAGAGGGGCTGCAGACTTCCCTGACAGCCTAGTGGTTAAGACCCCATGCTTCCAAGGCAGGATCAATGAGTTCAATTGCTGGTTGGGGAACTAAGATCCCACATGCCACGTGGTGTGGCAAAAATAATAATAATAATAATAATAAAAAATGCAGACTTAGAGAACAAACTTACGGTTGCCAGTGGGGAAGGACGGGAGGAAGGGGTAGTTAAGGAGCTTGGGATCAACACGTGAACACTGCTATATTTTAAATGGAAGACCAACAAAGTCCTACTGTAAAGCACAGGGGATTCTGCTCATGTTTTCTGGCAGCCTGGATGGGAGGGGAGTATGAGGGAGAGGGGGTACATGTATGTGTATGGCCGAGTCCCTTTGCTGTCCGCCTGAAGCTATCACAACCTTGTTAACTGGCTATACCTGAGTATAAAATAAAAAGGTTTTCAAAAATAAATACAAAATAAATAATAAAAGGGATTAATGACAACTTCGTGGCTGAGTTGCGGCAAGGTTTAAATACAATGTGTGCACAGGGTCTGCACACGGTAGGACCCCTAAGCGACCCGAGCTGACCCGAGAGGATTTCCATGGACAATGCCCTTCACTCCTACACTTGTGCTATAACCTACCAGATGCTTCACTGATCAGACAATGCATTTCCCCATCAGACCATCTGGAACATCTACAGCAAAGATATTTGGAACACCTTCCAGACTGCATACTTTTTTGTAGTTTAATTTAAAAAAAAATCATCTAAAATTGTCTGACAGTCCCAAGTCATTTCACCAGCCATCAGGGACATGGTATGAAATATGTGTGTATAATTTTTTTAAGACTATTTTTTGTTTATTTAACTCTGCCATATGTACTTTTACATATATGTTCTTTCACATATTGTGTGTATAATTTAGATTTGAGGTCCCAATTCTGGTCACAGCCATTCATCAGCATCAGCATGTAAGGTCACCACATCTTAGAAAGATCAACATGTATGTGTATGCGTATGGCTCACCATGAGACCTAGAGTCAGATAAGTGTCCACGTGTAAACTAATCATATTAGGGTTGTCTCATTTATGTACCTCCATCCTAGCAGGGGTGTAAACAGCAGCGCCTCTTGGGAAATCCACCTCTGGTGGGGGAGGAGTGCCCCACCAGAGCGTGAGTCCCTGGGGTCCACAGCTTGAGGGAGTCGCTGTATCTGCCAGGCCATATGCTGTCCCTCTGCTCTCTGGAGGTGGGAAGCTCAAGTCCCTAGCCAGACATTCCGACCCTCCTTCTGCTGAAAGCCTTGTATAAGATCCAAAGCACACGACAGCCCAGGGGCCACTGGGGAGAGAGAACACCTCCTCGGAACACAACAGGGACCCACGTGGAGACTGAGGTACTGTGGTTTCCACTCACTTTCTAAAAAGGCATGCAAGGGTCAGAATGCATACTAAGGAGGAGGTTATTCTGGATAGATTACTAGGATGCATAACGTTATATGTGATACATCTTTGTTACTGCAAATACAGTAAATACAAGTAATCTAAACAGGCTGCATTTGGCTGGTTCCTTGTGTTATGTCAAAGCCAGTGGAACTTCTGCAATGGAATCGTAGTAGATTTCAGACCCCTCGAGCCTCTTCCTTATCACGTGGGACGCTGGCTCAGACTTCTGCTGTTTGTCACCAGGTTCATGTCATTGAAATTCTTGCTTCCCATTTTACTCATCTACACATGGGAATAACAATGTCTTTGAAGATAACAGTAACTAACTGTGCGGGTGATTAAGGGGATTAAATTAAATGAGATACTGTTTGTAAAATCACCCAGCACAGTGCACAGTACAAAGGAGGTGTGTAATAAACATTAGTAAAATTAACTTCGAAATGAGAGGCCTTTAAAATCTTTTTGAGGGACTTCCCTGGTGGTCCAGGTGTTAAGAATCTGCCTTGTAATGCAGGGGACACGGCTTCCATCGTTGGTCTGGGAGCCAAGATCCCACATTCTGAGGAGCAACTAAGCCTGTAGGCCAGAACTACTGAGCCCCTGCCCCACAACTAGAGAGTCCGTGCGCCCCACAAAAGATCCTGTATGCTTCAACAAAGGTCCCACACGCCGCAACTAAGGCTGGACACAGCCAAATAAATACTTTTTTTTTTTAAAGCATAAAACATTTTGAAACCTTGGAAGAACTACAGATTTTTCTAAGTGAATCAAAAGTATATCTTGTGCATCTTTTATTTCCAGAACACTTCCGTCTTTCTCCATAGGTTTTTGGAAGTTGTTAGCAAGGCATTCTGCAAATACTTAGCATGAAGATGCAGACACACACATACACAAGCTTGACAAATGTTATATTTAACGTCTAGGATAGCACCTCTTTCCTACCTTCATTACCGGGGAAATGTTTCTGGTGCTCTGTCAAAGAGATGTTGAAAAACACCTGGGCACCAGGGAGATACTGTTCCCTTATAAGCCTCAATGCCCTCTTTCTTAGAGTCCTTCCCGCTGTCACCCTCCCGAGTCCTCAAAGGATATGCCAATGGCAGGAGGCCATCAGACTCTCCCTGCTATCTGATGTCCAGCCAAGAGCGACTTCGGCTTGATTTTAGCCGCTCCTTCTGAGTGCTCGCAGTTGTGACATATCCTTGGGATGACTAATAAAGAAGTGGCTAGAGGTCTTTCAGAGTAAATCCCTTGCTGTCCTGCAGAAACTATCAAAGACTGACCTAATTAATGGGCCCATAGATCTGTGAGGCACCTCATTTTCAGAGAACAGGCTGTAGAATTCCCTTTCTTGGCTATTTCCCTGGAACAAACATTCAGCAAATGGTAAGGGCAATTTAAGGCACCACTTTCATTACCTGCTGAAAACACGATGAGCTCATCTCTTCCTGCCGTTGGGCAGCACATTCCTGCTGTAATAGCATTCCTTTATGTTAAAAGTCGTATCTCTTGTTTAAGGGGCCTGTGGTTGGGCAAGCTGCTTTGCTCTCTGCAAACCTGCAAAAGGTAAATCAGAATCTCCATCAGATTTTAAGAATAGAGACCCAGTTTTTCAATTTCCAGCTGTGAATTCTTAAAACCCTTTCCCCACCAGTCCTAGCAATGTTTTTTTTTTTTTTTTTTTCTGACTTGCTATGTGAAATGGCAAAGTGAAACAGTTACTGATGTGATTGTCAGGATAATCAAGCCTCCAGTCAACTTCTACCAGAAAACCCAGATTATTAGGGTCCCCACCTCCTTCCCTGCCCTGATGATTTTGGTAAAGACACAGTTTGTGCAAAAAATACTTGAGTCACAGTTGACTTCGTTCAATGTTCACAGTGTGGTTAAATTCAGCAGTGGTTTTTGCACAGTCAAGTTTTAGAAAACCCTAGCATATTTCATACGCTTAGAAAAGAGGTAAATTGAAGGTGCCAGCACTCTTAGCATCATGGGCTCCTGACCCTTGATAAGTGTGGGCATTTATTGTTTCTCAAGTTTATTGGCCGTGCCCTCAATTCCATACAGGGAAATAGGAAGGTTCATTCATGTCGCATGTAAACAAATCTCTGGAGGGAGTGGGTATTTCAGCTCCATATGGAGAGAAGACAGGAGCAAGCACTACAAAGAAAAAAAAAAACTCATTTCTTCAACCAGCAGCCTTATATATCTGAACGCTGATGGGGGTGGGGCAGCAAAGAGAAAGGGAAATCACACAAACTAATACTATTCCATGTTGTACCCTTGAAATACAATTTTTATGACTTAAAAGGCCTTTCCACGGCATGGTGTCTTCTCAGCTGTATCACCTACAAAAACCACAGTGTAGAGGTAATTTAATCAGGAAAATGATCTATTGATCCACACGCTTTATATAACCTACACTCTAACCCATTATTAACAAAGACAGAGAATGTTCCCCAAACCATGATTTAAATATTTTTCTAAATGGAAATGACTTTTCTGTCACCTGTGAGCAATTGTTTTAATCATTTTTCTCAAGAGTAAGCTACACTAAAGTCAGTATGGTTGGGAGATAAAAAATGAGCTTGAGCTGTTGAATCTCCCCCTCCTTCTCCCCCACCCCATTTCTTCTTACCTTCCCTCTTCCTTCTCCCTATTTGCTGCAGCATGTGAGTTTATTCTGGCCAAATGAACCAGTTGAGATGGGAATGTTAATTTGTTTGAGCCATCCTATGTCAAGCTGGGGAAAAAAAATCATGGACTTCCCTTGTGGTTCAGTGGTTAAAACTCCACGCTTCCAATGCCAAGGGTATGGGTTCAATCCCTGGTAAGGGAACTAAGATCCCACAAGCCCTGTGGTGCAGCCAATAAACTGAACGAAGTAAAATTACTTTTAAAAACAACCCCATGCCAGCTTTCAGATTTTCACCAACCCAAGGCGGAACCCTGAGTCGTGGTCCCGGGACCCACAGTCACTCAGCCCTCGTTAACGCCCTCCTGCCGCTTCTCCCTCTTGCCCCTCCTGCCTCCGGAATGACTTAAGGGTTGTATCATCTGCCTCTGGATCTTTCCCTGAGCTGGAAGGTACTGGTATCAATGCCAGCACAAACGGATCAACAGACAAAAGCCTGAGCCTTGACTCCCAAAGACTACAAGAGACACATTGGTTCCCAGAGCCAGTCTCAGCCGGGCTCGGGGGACAGTAGACGTAGAGTGGGTCACCCGGATAGACTGGCAATGCTGGTCTTCCTTCACAAAAAGGCAGGGGGTGCTGGGACAACCCTGGGTAATTGAGTTTCCAAACCCCACTGTTACCTGAAGCAGACAGATAGATGATCGTGGGGAAAGGAACCAACTATTTTGCGTATCAACTGTAAACCAGTATCTTAGAGGAGGTTCCCCAGAAGCTGACCCTGAGATGAGGGTTCATGGACAGTGGCTGAAGGAAGAATGACTCCCAGGAGAAGCAGGTGAGGGAGACAGGGGCCGCAGGGCAGGGCCGGAGTTAAACAAGGAGCAAACCTGGCAACGCCTTGGAGCCCTGGCTTCTGCCTCGTCCCACCTGGGGCTCAGGTGCAGAAAGTGACGTCTTAGGGGCCATAGGGACCCAGTGGAGAAGCTGAATGTTCTTCTGGCCCACTGATCTTATTTAAAGGTTGCAGTGGGGGGATATCACCTCGAGGCAGTTCTGGTTCTCTCTGCATTTAGGTGCTGAGGTACACAACAACACTTACAGGGACTTTCAGGGCGTTTGGGGCGAGCTTTATCTGCTGCAGCCCAGCTCCGCACAGTGTGCTCCATTTCACTTCATCCTCACAGCATCCTGTACCTACGGCATCATTTGTGGGCAAGAGGCAGCTAATCAGGCCTTTCATTTCCTTCTTCACGGCTTCCATGGACCCTGAAACGATCATGTGCGTTAGTGAGAAACTTTGGTGGGACCAGGGTGACATCTAGTGGTGGATGTGGGGTCTGGCATACAGAGAGAAATTTCTAAAGTTGAGTCTGCAAGTCAGGGTGAGGTCTCCTTCACAGCATCCAGAATCACCTCCTGGAATGGACTCAACTACACACTCCACCCTCCCCTCCATCACCCACACTCTTAAAATCTGCCCGTCACACGGCATGGATCAGGGTGGTGTTAATACGCCATTATTGCTGACCTTGTAATCAATTCAACTAATTTAAAAAGTCACACTTCAGGGGAAAGCTGACTTTTCACTTTGACTCATTTTGTATGTTTGCCTTAATGATGGAGCCCTGCAGAGTTTATAGATTGTTTTAGTTGATTTAATTCATTTGTAGGAAAGCAGGAATAGCACCTTGAGCTCAGAGTAGACACTTCTCTAGACAGTTAACATGACACCCACTCCCCTGCAGAGGTGTAATGGGGGTGGCTGAAGGCATAGGACTCAATGTCCAAGATCACTTTTTTGATAATGTGGGGGCGGGGAATGCAGTTAGACACCCTGGATTCAAGTAACATGCTATCCACAACATCACACAGTAATATGATCAAAGAAAAGAAAAAGTCTAGATTTCTACTTGAGCTAATAGGGCAGTTCTCTATTGAGCGCATTTTGACCCCATACCTCAATCTTGGAGACACTTGGCGATGTCTGGAGACATTTTTCTTTTTACTGAAGCATAGTTGATTTACAATGCTGTGTTAATTTCAGGTGTAGAGCAAAATGATTCAGTTATATAAATATATATGTAAATTTTCAGATTCTTTTCCATTACATCAATAGGTCATTACAAGACATTGAGTGTAGTTCTGTGTGCTATAGAGTAGGATATTTTTTCCAAAGTTTATATTTTGTATTGGGGTATAGCCAGTTAACAAAGTTGTGAAAGTTTCAGCTGAACGGCAAGGGGCTCGGCCACACATATACATGTATCCCTTCTCCCCTAAAGTCCCCTCCCACCCAGACTGCCACATAACATTGAGCAGAGTTCCCTGTGCTGTACATTTTATCTATTTTGTATAGAGTAGTTTGTATCTGCTAATCCCAAACTCCTAATTTATCCTTTCCCCACCCACTTCTCCATTTGGGAACTATGTGAGTCTGTTCTATGTAAGCCTGTCTCTGTAAGTTGATTTGCATCCAGAGACATTTTTGATTGTCACAAGTGGATGAGGACACTACTGGCCTCTAGCAGGTAGAGGCCAGCAATGCTGCTAACATCCCATCAGACGCAAGAAGGCCCCAGCGGAGAGTGAGCCAGAGCCAAAGGGCAATAGCGTCCAGGTTAAGAACGTCTACTGTGAGGGGTGATATTCATCAGTAAATGAACATTGAAAGGATAATAAACCCTAGGAAAACCTAAGCAATGGTCTGGTCCGAGTTCAGCCAGGCGTGTTTTTTTTTCTAAGCAACCATTAGGTAGAACTGGATACCTGAGAAATGGGTCTGTGCGGCCTTATCCCTACACGCCTTCCAGCGACAGGACACGGCACAGGGAACCTCCGTTTTGCAATGCGCCTGTTACAGATGACCATCAGCAGATTCCTTTCTCCTTGATTTTAAACACAGTCCTTCCGCTTCATGCAGCTAGCTATGCGCGCCCCAGCTCCCGGTGTAACATTCCGCCAAACACCTTCATCAGCTGGGGAAGGGCTCAGGGCTAGTGAAGGGCTGAGGCAGGAGGAGGGCTGCAGGCTATCTGCATTTCTTCCAGCATTTATTTTCACTCCTGGAGGACTAGGAGACTGCTTGATTGCTTTTCAAACAGCTATCATGACCTAGCTTTACAGCTTCTTCCAAAAGATGATTACAATGTTCTATTATTTTTCAAGCAAAAACAGCACTCCCTTACCCCTCGGCAATATATGCACTGTCAATTTCAACAGCGCTAGCTTCCTTTACCTGACATGGATCTCCTTTCCCCCTTATTTCCCCTCCTTTGCTGTTGTCAGCCTGTTTAACCTTTCTGGGGAGAGCTTCCTAGGCACACAATTTTATTTACAGAGTCTCTGTACACTTGTAGATACAATTAAAATTTAAACAGTGAACATTTAGCTTAATGTTGACATTTCTCATTCCTTAGAGGAGGAATTTACTTAAACATTAATAACTAAATGTGCAAGGGACTTTCCAAGCTGAGAAGGGGAGAAAGGTACACCATGCAGCTCTCATCTGTTAGAATTGTGGGTTTGTTTAAAAATGATATGCAATTGGAGGCCTACTTTCACTTTTCACTTTCATTCATTGGAGAAGGAAATGGCAACCCACTCCAGTGTTCTTGCCTGGAGAATCCCAAGGACGGGGGAGCCTGGTGGGCTGCCGTCTATAGGGTCGCACAGAGTCGGACACGACTGAAGCGACTTAGCAGCAGCAGCAGCAGCTGAATTTGAAATCGGTTACTTCGTCTCGTAGTGGAAGCTTATACAAATGCAGACTTTTGAACAAAATCCAAACTTAACCTCTGCTTGTCTTGGCTCATGGCTTGAAGGGGCTGGTGTGATGTTTTTTTTTTTGAAGTTGCTATTGAATTTAAATTTAAAAGAAGGAAAACAGTCCTGCCCATCTCTGTAAAAGCTCCTGCTTTCATGTGACAGAGTAGGACAGTTTTTAAAATTGACAATCTGAAAAGAAGGAAAGCAAAAGAAGGCTGAAATACACACTAGGAGCTGGAATTTGGGTTTGGGTCCTCCAAATCCTATACTCTCGCGTCTTCTCCCCTCCTGAGATTCCTGCCAAGGGAGAGGCATCCACAAGGTGAAAGAACCAAGTGAGTGGCAAAATATCAGCTCAGTTAACCACTAGGCAAGCATCCAAAGCCTGGAGAAGGAAATGGCACCCCACTCCAGTATTCTTGCCAGGAAAACCCCATGGATGGAGAAGCCTGGTGGGCTGCAGTCCATGGGGTTGCTAGGAGTCGGACACGACTGAGCCACTCACACTATCACTTGTTTACTTTCAAGCATCCAGTGATGCCCGCATCTCCTCATACAGGGCTTTTGCACCACAGGCAGGGTTGAAGAGCGAGGCTCAGATGGGCAGCCAGGTTTCCACATTCTTGCTTCCTCGAGTCCTGGTCGCCTGGGTCTGTGGCACAGGATTCAACTGACTGTGTGGACAAATGGTGGAGGCCCCTCAACTTCGATGTAGAAGTGACAACAATAGATAGAAAGAAGAGCTGGTGCTCCTGACACCTGCTTTGTGACAGCTGCATCTCTTTGCATGATGGCCTTTTTGGTCAGCTGAATTTGCTCTGCACTTCCAGGCAGTTTGGATGTACCAGAGGCTTGACACCCCCTAGAAGGATCCCTTGGGCTTCCCTGGTGGTTCAGTGGTAAAAAATCTGCCTGCAATGCAGGAGACGCAGGTTCAATCCCTGGGTTGGGCAGATCCCCTCGAGGAGGGCATGGGAACCCACACTAATATTCTTGCCTGGAGAATCCCATGGACAGGGGAACCTAGTGGGCTATAGTCTATAGGGTCGTAAAGAATCGGAAATGACTGAATCAAATTAACACACAGGCCCACAGAAAGATCCCTTAACCAGTGACTGAAAGCGTTGGTGTATTGTTTATCAGCACCTCACCCTTGGAGGGGATAACTCCTAGCTGTATCTGCCAGAGGTTCTGAGTGAAACTGAGGTCCAGGTGCCTACAGGGATGACTGCCTTGATAACACACTCTTCGTGGTTGTCTCTTCTTCTCCCCTGTCACTTTCCCACTCCCCTATCTTGATCCCTGGAATCACCTCTCTAAGAAATTACTTCTATTCCTATCCTTGTTTCTGGGTCTGTTTCTCGGGGAACCAAAACCAAGACAAAAAGGATAGACAAGCAGTTCTATCCTCAACAGGCACACCCTCTCCAGAGAAGCCAGAAGTAAAACTGAATGTAAGAAAGCCTGGCGTGCAAAGATGTAGGAGATGAAAAAGAAGGAGCTGGCAGAGCCATATGTCTTATAAGCCCAGCGGTCCTCATGCAGGAGTAGGGCTTGGCACAGTGAGTGTCTTGCCATCTGACACTCAGATTTACAATTCCTCCTCCACTAAGGAGAGATGGCGGAAGACAGGGTGGTAGAAGGTTGGGATTCTTCCCTTCAGGTTCCAGCCCAGCCCACTCCTAAATAGAGAAAAGCCAAAATAGCTTCCCCTCCCAACAGCTCAGGTTTGTCCCAAGCTATTCCCACTTCAGAAAGGCAAGCATTCTAAGCTGTCCATGGTCAGAACTCCCCATAAGCTCCCATCCCTGCAGGGAAGACAGAATACTATTTGACTTCCAGACCCGCATCACTTTCAGATTCATCATGGTAGGACTTACTATTCAAACAAGATAGTTCTTTAATTTCTCCTCTTCCTGGTATGAACACAACTCTGAACTACGAAAAACCTGTAGTGAAGCCTTTGGAGTGTGTTTTATTAAAAGGTAAGATGATGCTTGAAGCAAAGGTTAGGCAAACACTGGCTTAATGCCCTAGTACTCCACAGGCAGGGAACATTTTCTCAGGTCGGGAAACTGAATAAAATGGCCACTAGGTTAAGAAAGGTCTTTACTTAAAGGGCAAACCAAAATATAATGAGAAAGATAAAAACAGCTTGGAACAGGTATTAAAAAAAAAAAAAAAGTAGGGGGAGAAGACTGGTTTTAAGTGGAGATCTGTTTCTTCTGTCAAAGTCTCAAAAGTGCATGTGTCTGTTTTAGAATTACAATTATTCTCAAAGATGAAAGTGTAATTGAAGGAGTGCAGTTAGACTGGTCCTCGGCACAGCCTCAAATTTAAAGAGGAAAAAAGCTCCCAAGGCCCTCTTCCCAGCACAACCGAGCTAAGTGCCCTGCTCCTTCATGGCACCTGTTCCCAGTTCCAGATTGCCAGACCTGGGTCCTATTTCCCCAGGGGACAGGTGGACTGGGGATCAGAGCAGCCGCTCTTAAACCTGTTATGGGCCAGAAACCTGGCATTTCACAGGTACAGTAGCACAGGTGCTTTTCTGCCTGAGGAAGGAATGGCTAGCAGCTTGCAGGGGAAGACACCCAGGTGTGAGAAACTCCACTTTTCTTAGTGTTAAGTATGATACATCACCAAGCCTTGAAGCAGTCACAATACACATTTGTCCAAGGACCAAGTGAAAGAAGAGGCTGGGATGCTGTTTGGCGCTTTCCTGAGCCTCTGACCACATTCTCCACAGCAAGAAGTTCCAGCACCTTTTCTCATCTTCACCTGATTTAATCAAAGCCGCGCAGAAACTTGTTGGACTTGTTACCTGTTATAAAAATGATGTTCTGACATACCCGGATTTAACAAATGGTTTTGCCTCTCTGAGATTTATGTTGGGCAGTTAATTTTTCCTAGATTCACTGGTGCTCGTTAAATATTTGAAACACTGCTTTGTGCTGTGCTGTGCTCAGTCATGTCCGACTCTTTGTGATCCCATGGACGATAGCCCACTGGGCTCCTCGGTCCATGGGATTCTCCAGGCAAGAATACTGGAGTGGGCTGCCAGGCCCTCCTCCAGGCGATCTTCCAAACCCAGGGATCGAACCTGAGCCCTCTGCATCTCCTGCACTGCAGGAGGATTCTTTATCACTGAGCCATCAGTGAAGCCTGAAATACTGTTTTACTGGTTGGTATGTAGTCGCTGAAGCTCTTTGAATGTCCTTTCATGGCCACCCTCCCCTCACAGCTCCTCCCCTGGGGTCACCAGGACCTCCAACAGTTACAAA